ATCTGCCTCTTCCTAACCTGCCACCATCTCAAACATACAGATTTTGAGGGACTAGCTAAGTACCCTTTTGAAAAAAAAATTGGCCAGTTGATATGATTGATAACTGAACTATGTAATTTTTTTTAAGTAGTGAAATCAGAGCAGAGGAGTGCCATGGAGTCTGACAAAGCCAGGGTGGAAAAACAGGTTGGTGCCTGTCACAAACCAGTGAGACATCCAATGGCTCACAAGTATCAGACATCAGGTGCTGGAGCAGTCTCAGTCCTTTTCTGTTCCTAGCTAAGGGGTCCCATCTCTTCCCTTGTCCTTTTGAGACAAATTGAACTTGTTAACCCAGCAGCTTTATTTTTTTTCTGCAAACATGCTGCATGTGACTGTGAGGGATTCAGTGAGCAACAGAATAATGCACAACATAAGACACAACTCGCAGATACAACTGCTATTACAGGAGAAAAGACCAAACAAGGTAACTGTTTTTTCTCCTTGCTATCAAGTCCTTGATGCCAAAGTTCCTGGGCTTTTTGCCTTATTTCCAATCCTTGTTAGCCTGACCAACAGGTGAACCTCAAACATTTCAGTCTACAGGTAAGAAGTGCTTACACCCCACAAATCATACTATAATTCAGACGTGTTCAAAGATGTTCAGCATAATTACAATTGATCATCTTGTCTCTGTTTTTATTTCTAAATAAGGAATTTCCAATAAGCTGCAGAATACTAAATGGAAAATCAGGTCAAGGAGAATTTGAGAGAAATTGAAGACCTGTTTATTTTAAACTAATTCAGGTCAAGTCCACTAACCACTTCATAATCTAGTAGACACAAAGCGTCACTCATTCCTCTTTGGTTGAGCAATTTTAAAAATTGGATATATCACCTCATAGTAACACATTTTTCAGGCAGCTCAAATGCTTCTGAAAAGAGCTAAGTGCCAGTCACACAAGTGTGTGGAGCCTCTGTGAGACCTATTCCAGCAGTCAGGGTCTTCATTTTCCATTATTTATTGCGTGAGTTTTCACACTGTAAGAGCTCCTCTTTACATATAAGTGGGGTAAAGTTTCCAAAGATGCTAATAGTGTTGAATCAGGTTCCAAACTTTGTGCAGCCTTCCTGTTAGACACGACTTGCAACATTTACTTACTCTGCTAATGGGTTACCAGATGTCCACATGCTATGAGATCTCAGCTACAACAATAACAGCTACTTGACAAGATAGAAAAAGGAAGATACCAAATTCCATTTACGTTGATTTCAGGAAGTTTATTGCACCAAATGCCGCAAAGAAATAGACCAAAATGATAGTGTACATAAACAACTATAAGAAAAAAACTCATGTAGTTTGACATTGGTATTCAGTCATTCCTAAAAAAGCCTATGTTCTCCAAACATGCAATAGCAACACACACTTTTTTCTACCATGGAAAACCTGCTATGTATGTCAAATTAGCAAATTTGACCTCAAAAAAAAAAAAAGAAAAAGAAAAAAGAAAATGTCTAGACTATATTCAGTAGTTCAGACTTACTTTTTATTTGGGTCCTTTTAATTGAAGTAGAAGTTATACTTGAGGGCTAAGTGATCATTTTGTGTAAACCTTATATACAGGAGTTTGGTGCATCTGAAAAGAGTTTGACTTTAAAAGTAAAGATGCAGGAAGTGGGGAAGATCAATCTATAAATCTGGAGGATGCCATTAGAAATGTGAATTACAGAATCAGTGTCTATTAGGTTTTTTTGGGCAGAAGAAAGTTGTATACATTAGCTCAGAGAGCACCTAACAATTAAAATGTTTAGATCTTGGTATCGTTTGGGGTTAAAGAATTCATTTAGATTAAATACTATAATTTAGTAGTTCATTCCTCCCCTCTATTTAGTCTTGTCTGCAAAAAAAATCATACATTCTTTAAATTACACTGTGTAAACTGCATTTATGTGGGATTTTGGAAAGACTGTGCACTCCCACTTAACCAAAAAAAGAATGTATTTAAATTTACAAAAAACCTACATAATACTGATAAAAACAACCTTGGAATATTTGAAAATTAAGCTACATTATCAATTTTCAACACATCTGTACATTCATATCACTTTTTGTCCTATTAAAATAAAACCAGAAACATGCCCTAAAAATGTCTAAAAAACACATCTGTAAATACACTGCCCTGTCATGCCACACAATTTACATAAACAGCAAGATGCTACCAAAAACAAGTTAAAGACTTCGAGTCAAAAAAAAGCCCTAGAAGGTGGAATCCTGTCAACTGAGGTAGTACATCTGGTGGAGGGGGAAATATGTATTTAGCTTTCCTTAGTCTAAAGCCTTTTAAAGCTTTCATTTTGAATTTTCTTTCCCCCAAAACTAAAACTGTGAGAACAAGATAGTTCAACATGTAATTTCTGAAAAGCAGCAAAATGTTAGAGAAAGCAGCAAGAACTATAAAGTTTTAGCCTGGGTTGAAGAAAATCCAACTGCTTTTGACCATTGGCTCACATGCCACCACAAGGTTAACTGATGACTTGCCAAAAGACAGATTTTTAAATTACTTTTTTAAAAACAGTTGATGCAGTAAAATCAGAAGTTAGTGATTATGGCGTTAATCTTGAAATCACTGAGTGTTTGCTGACCTTTGACTTCTTTAGTACACTCTATGTACTAAAACAAAAGCATGTCTTTCTATGTTAGTATATATTTCTTTGACGAATTGCCAGTCTGTTCAGAAAAAAAAGCCACACTTATGCTTTTAAAAGAACTGGAATTGACTTTTAAAGATCTCAGCTACTATTTAAGAATGACATGAAATAAAAAAGTACACGAGGGTTTCTATATACACTCAGGGAAGCAGTTTCATAGTCTTGGACATGCACACACACATTCCCCACCCAAAGGGTATTTCAGGAATATGTGACTTGCTCTATGATTCTTACTTTGTCTTAACCTTGTGAAATAGAAAGTGGTATCTGCTAAACATAGTCTGTAGAGGTAAGTTTACTTTCCAGCAGATAGAATTTACAGACCAAAGATATGAAAAAAGTTTGCTTAACTATAAGCAGGAGGAGAAAACCTGAACCATAGAAAGATTTTAGCCTTTTTAGGCAGAACACTAGGGAGAAGTATGAAAATGTGATAAAAGAAACATTTGGAATGGCAGGTCAGAAACCCAGCATAGAAGAAAAGCTTTAGAAGTGTTACATCAGAATATTAAGTATCCCTCCACATGGAAACAACCT